ATACCGTTCCACGATGCTTCTGTGCCATTCATGATTTGTAATTATTTTTTTGGATTATCTAGAAATAAAGTAAATTTATGTGTATTTTATACATTTAATTTTTTTACTTATTTCATACTTGTCAATTGTCAATTGGTTCTAATTGTTCGTAACACTGTGATATCGTTTGATTTGAGAATGAGAAGTTATTCTAGAGCCCGGACTCATTGCCCCCTCCGAGGTGCCGATAGCCGCCGCGGTCTCGCTCTTCCTAGTTCGCCGAGCCTTCGGCTTATATGCTAAATCGGGGAAGAGATCTTTCGGTTCGGCCGTTAGACTCTTTTCGTCCTCGTAGTCACTTTCTGCCTGCAAGGACAATTCTTCGAGGATGTCGAGGTCCACGGCAGCCCTCCCGTCCACGCGCGAGCGTAATCGCGGCTGCATGTGGCGGTGCGCGTAGGCTGTTTTTTTCGCGTCGCTCCACGGCGGCGATAATCGATTAAAAAGAGCATTTAAGCAGGTTAAATAATCCAATACCGACTCGTCTTCCCCTTACTTACGCCGCGTGATCTGTTCTAACAACGCGAATTGATTGTCGGGATCCCCGAAACGCTTGCGCCACGCCGTCGTGAAGTCATCCCATGTCGAAAATCGGTCGCGCTTGGCCCGAAACCATTATTGCAACGCGATGCCCGTCGAGAAAAGAGGGATGCATTGTAGCACGTCCGCGTCCGCGACCGGTACGATCCGGCGCCCCTCCTCGATCTGCAGGAGAAACATTTCGGCCTCCTCTCCGCGAGTACCCGAAAACTTCAAATTCCACCCTCTCATTAATTTGTATACCGCGGCTGCCGAGTTTTTCCCCGTACCGGTCGGTAGCAGTGGCTCCCCGCCTCGCGGCGGATCCGCCGGGCCCGCGCGCGGGAACTGCGGTCCGAGCCTCATCTCCTCGAACGGGCTGTCCGGACGAACCGGCCCACCCTCAGGCAGATCCAAGTGCTCCGAATCCGACATCTCGTCAATCTCGCGGATTCCCGCGCGCTCGAAAACACCACGCGTTGTTCGTACGCGACGCAACAACCGGAGTACCAAAACCGAATTCGATCCGTCCGTTGGCAAATTATGTCGACGTAATTTGTTAATCAGTTGTTCGCGATCCGCCAAATAAACTCGTTCGTCAGGTGGGCTAAATTGGCTCATACAATCGTCCGACAATATTTAGGTGACACCCGGTATTTCCGACAAACACTTACTTCCCTTCCCCCCCCAAAATCACGTCGAAAACAACTGCGCGAGCGTGCACGATTCTCCGGTCGCAACCGACAAACAAGAGTTTGTCACGAAAATATTCACTTTCCCTTATTCGTCACGCTCGCATTTCGAGGGAATCGAGTCTTCGTTAACTAATTTTTTTTTCGACACCGCAAAATTCAACCGCGCGAGGGTATTTGCATCAGAAAAAAAAATCAAGAGAAAGCTCTCACCAAAAACAAGTGTTCTCGTTACCGTTCTCACTGAATCCCGAAAGTACATCCGCGAAATTCGTGGCAAAAGCACACGATAAAAGTGATCAACACAAAAAAAATAATTTCAGACAACACATACAAATATTTAAACATTCTAACCACAGACAACAGAACAATGAAACAGAGAAACAGAATAAATTTCGTTATGACCCGAATTCTTTTGCCAAGCCACCATCAAATCGCGAGAAAAAGAAAAATTATTATTTGCCCTTCAGTTTAAGGGCTTCACGTTGGGCGCCAAATTTTGTCACGCGCTCGGCGAGGTTCGAGGTTCGCGCGAGCGCGGATCAAAAACGGAAAGAGGGAAATCGTGAACGATTTCGGGAGGGAAGGTGTTAGTCCTCTTATGCAGGTTCCTCCGCGCGGCGATCGACACGGCGCGGGGTAGCGACGCGAGAGTTGGGCGCCAGACGTGCTCTACGGCAATGTCGTTCGCGAAACTCGCAGCAGACGCGATAGTGCGAACAAGATACTTGTATTCGTCGATATCCAAGTTCCCCAAAACGAATGCTTCTCCCGAGGTCGATCGCGCGAGGGTCGGCCGGCTCTACCTAACGGCAGAGGCGCAGGGCGGAAACAGAGGGCGAGTTACTTGATTTTCGACGGGATAGTGGTAAGCGGGCGGAAGAATGCGTACGCTAGAAGTAAAGTAAGAAAGGACACTTTAATAAACGCTTGGCACGGCGATAATAAAGGCTCCAGTAAAGATAATTAACAAAAAAGAAAGAAACATAAAGAAGAGAATATTTGGCGATATGCGGCAGAAAATAATCTAGCAACTTGTTTAAAAGGAAAAAGTGCCGGCAACGAAAAACGCAGTAACAATAATGAGTTCGATTCGATACCTCGTTTGCAGAGGGACGCGCGGCCCGGCGTGATAGACGGGCGCATGCGCACGCCCGGATCGGCACCCGGAAATAGCGCGGCGCACAACTTAATCCACTCCGCCTGAGCTGAATTACATAAACTCGGACCGGTAGACGAAAACGCGATCAGAACGATACGGCATTAGAGTACGATAAAAGAATCTCTCTCGGTACGACGCAGGCACCGATAATAGTCAAGAATACGCGTGTGGAGTAGCCTCAATAACAGGCTCGCAAGACAGACACACGTACGGAAACGAGAAACGAACACTAAATTACTTGCGTCGATGTACAACGAAAGCACACGCACGAGAGATATATGCGAAGACGCTAAGTACTCGCGGACTCGCGAATACACGCACTTACAATAAACTCGCGCACTCGTGCACGAGGGCTTTGCGGCACATTCTCCGGGCGGCTCGATACGCAACTCATGACACTTCCGGTAGCCCACGGCAGAGTCCTGTGTAGAGACCCTCAATCAGAGTCAAGCCATAAGACGATTGGATCTAAATCCTACGAGAGAGAAAGGTAGTGTTTCTCCTTTCTCTTTTTAATCTAACCTTTCTTTATGCTTTCGTTATGGTTTTCGCTTGTGATTTTTTGGTAGTGTCGCGTATCGCGGTCGTTTATTGCAAAAATGGTTCGATGTTCGGCACCATTTTGTAACAATTCAACAATAAAAGGTTACAAAATGATAAGATTTCCAAAAGATCCCGTACGTCGGGCTTTATGGGTACAGAATATTCCGACTAAGGATTGGGTACCAGCAACCAACGCTCGTCTTTGTGAGGTG